AGTAGGGAGTTCCCCATTGTGTAAGTGTGCTGCTGGTTCCTACTGCCCAAGTGCAGCACCCTGCACTTGTCCGTATTGAAACGCATCCTGTTTCTGTTAGCCCACCCCTGTAACCTATCCAGATCCTTCTGCAATCTCTCACTCCCTGCTAGCGTGCTCACCTCCCCCCAAATTTTGGTGTCATCAGCGAATTTAAACAGGTTACTTTCCACCCCATCATCTAGATCGCTGATGAAGAAATTGGCTTAGGGGTGCAGTCCCTAAGCCACTTAGCCACCCACCTGACTGTGTAGGCGTCCACTCCACAGCCCGTTAGCTTCCCTATGAGAATGGTCAAATTCAGTGGCCGAATTCAGATTCAGTGGCCGAATCTCTGAATCCGAATCAAAGCAGACCTTTTAACCTCTCTGAATTGAATTGGAACCCTCCAAATCTATTCAGAGAGATTCGGAAAGATTCAGCGATTCCGACGCAGACACAACTTTAAATGTTTTTTCTACATACCTCTAGGTACCAGGTGGCTTGTGAATGCTGCAATGGTGGGTCAGATGGCGCGTCCCACATGAGCATGGGGGGCTCTCCAGTGCGCTTGGCAGCAGACCCAGAAGTGGACCAGAAGCGCTTCTGGTCCACTTCTGGGTCCCCTGGGGAGAGCACTGGGGGCCCCAATGCTCCCCGGCAACTGGAGCTTCCTGGGTCTGGGGGGCCACCTGGGGTCCCTCTGCAGCCAATCGCTGAGCCGGAAGGAGTGCAGGGGAACCCCTGTGCACTTGGCAGCAGACCCGGACATGGACCGGAAGTACTTCTGGTTCACTTCCAGGTTTGCTGCCAAGCACGCAAGGGGCCCCCCTTGCGCTCCTGTGGGATTCTCCATCTGTCCCACCATCACAGTGTTCACGAGCCACACCTGGTACCTCACGGTATGTAGAAAAAAATATTTAAAGCTGTGTCTATGGCCGAATCGCTGATTTTCCAAATCAGCATCGAATCTTCAGATTCGGATTTGGCCGAATCGAATTAGGGACAGCAATCCAAATCAACAAATTGAATCACTGCCCCTGATTCAGGCTGAATCCTAATAGAATATGGCTTATTTCGCACACCCCTATTAGCTACTGCTAACATAGAAACTGAAGGCTAAGTCTCATATATGATGCAGCTTTAGGTGACACAAAGTCCAGCTCTCTGCGAAAAGATGGAAATGGACTTTTCTCTGTGACTGCAGGGGGGCAGGATTAGGAGCAAGGCCTCAAGCTGCAGCAAGGGAAAATTAGGTTGGAGATTAGGAAGAACTTTCTAACTATGAGGGTAGTAAAGCACTGGATCAGGCTACCTAGAGAAATTGTGGAATATTCACCTGGGTAAGTTTTCAAGAAAATTTTGAACAGAAACTTAGCTGGGATGGTTTAGTCAGGGATGATCCAGCCTTGAGCAGGAGGCTGGACTAGATGACCCTGTGAGGTCCCTCCCAGCCCTGTTTCTATGATCCAATTAAATCTTATTTCTCAAATGAACATATGCAATATTGACCATGATTACAAGTTCCAAGGCTTTTAGCACCAGTAGTGGCCTGCTTACCTCATTTGCAAGCTTTTCAGCGTAATCAAACATGTTAGTTTCCAGCAGTCCAAAAGAGAAAATGCCTTTTACATAGCTAAATAAAAGGAAAGAAAAATCATTTAGAACTAGAAGGATGACACTTATATTGTAAAACACTAGAAGTATGTGCGACAAAAAATTTAATTCATGGCAAGTTGTAACACTCAACAGTAAAGAGAGAAAGAACTCAGGAGCTGATTTTCCTATAAAAATTAGAAATCCACCAAATGGCCACCTTGCTCTTTCCTTTTCACTGTACACTTTTTGGGAAAAATCATGTTTTCCATATGCTCTGTTAAACTCACAGAAAACTGATGATGATGTAGAGCAGGCTTGTTCAACATAAGGCTCGTGGGCCGCCATGCAGCCCGCCAAGCCATTTTCTGAGGCCTGCAGTGCTGCGAAGGGAAACGAAAGTAAACACTGTTTACTTTCGTTCCCACCCCTTGTCCCTCCCCCAGCCCCTCAGCAGCTTCTTAATGGCTGCTGAAGGCCTGGGTAAGGGACAAGGTTCCCACATGCACCGCGTCAGCTTGACGTTGCCGACACGGTGCATGTGGGAAGAGGAGAGTTTTGAACTGGTTAGACCCATTTCACTGTCACTTCCTGCAACTTCATTGGTGTCAAAGGTCACGTGACATCACTTCCTGATGTGATACCACTTCCTGTGAGGTCTTTGAATATAGCTCGCTGGCCCACTGGGTGATAAAAAGTTCATGATCCAGCCCCACATTCAAAAAGGTTGGACACCCCTGATGTAGAATATTATTTTAAAGCAAATGACATTTTTTGCAGTCTATGAAAACAACGTATGCAAAGCGTACAAGATGCAATGCATATATTCTCGAACATGATAATGCATGCAACATTATACTATTTTACTAATTAAATTTTGAAGTGAAATAAATTTAGAGAGATGGAAAAGCACTTTTTACAATGGATACTTATGCGAGACCAAAAAAGGAAACATTAAGGGTACGTCTAACTCTAAGATATCTACAAGCTCTGAGCTCAAGGACAAGCTAGCCACTTCTCCCCCGTCTACCTGTTTTGATTTTAGGTGGGTCAAGCCTGGGTTACTCATGTCTGCCCTGTGCTGCCTTTGACTTCAATACAGTGGTAGGATTTATGGGGGTATACCCCAAACTTTGTACAGAGTGGAGTCATTCCAGGAATTGTTCTGAAGTACTCTTGAGAACTGCTGGGCTTTTCTTAATATTGCTTGAACTACAGCAAGGCAGATTTAGATCAAATCTCTGGGAAGAAAGTCCTGACTGAAAGAACACAAGATAACAACTATGGATCTTTTGGAGAGGTAAGAGACGATAGAAAGCCTTTTGGCCATGACAGAAACATGCAAAGGCGTGAGATACGAAGGACTGAAGGAAGCATGCAAGACACGCTGGGCCAACATGATGAACATTATGATTACTGCCCTGCCCGTTCATATATACAGGGATGGTAAATATATGCTCTATATCTTCACTCTCTAAAGGAACCAACAAATATATTAACTACAAGGGAAATTAACTCTATGCTTTGGTAAGGGCTGGTTAACTACAGGGTTAGGTTCATCAACATACTGTGGGAATCACAGGCAAGGTTCATGATGCAACAATTCTGAGAAAATCAGGCATTGGCATGCTTGGATAAAACTGGATCTTATTCTTTCCCAACACCACCACTATTGATGGCTTGCGGATACTTCCATTATTTGGAGACTGGTAGGGGCCTTCTTATCCTTTCAGTCTAGATCCCAATGTTTGTAGGTGACTGATTGTCAAAGGCTCCTTACAATCATCCACTCCATCCCGTCACGCACCATGGCCACAAGAATCCCATGATTTTAAAAGATAAGCTAAACCAAAAAACTATGATGTGTCACAGGTAACAAGAGGGAAGGCATTTTTCATATATGACTTTTGCCAGAGATGTCAGTACAGCCAGGATTTCACCCTATGTCATTTATGACACATGAAAGCTATTAAAAAACATGCTCCATTTGGGCAAAATTTCACTTAGAAAAAAATAAGCAGTGTATCAGTAGGAACACAGAATAAATGTTCATTATTTTATATACTGGTAGTTAAATTTACCTCATCCATATGCTTGGATGGGGCTGTAGGGATAATCAGCACATGTACACAGCCCCAAATAACGCTGCTGACCAGATGACCAAAGCACAGGCACACCAGATGTAGGTACTCCAATCAATAATTTAACACAACCTATTACATACCTGCTCAGAGGAATATCAGGTGTCCAGTGAGGATAAACCCGGGCAACAGAGTCTCGCATTTGTATATGATGGCCCAAGTAAAAATAAGTGCCCTGGGAGAATTTGAGTGCTAGCATGTCAGTTGGATGGTCCTGCAGAATCTGATCCCATACTGTACAAGCTTGGGGAAGATGCCTGGAGATGAGAAACCACATTTATATTAATCATCAATAGAGCCAACGAGATTCAAGTGCCTCCTCCTAATATTATTTCTAAACCCATATTACTCTGGCAAGAAGGAAACCCAATGACAAATGACAGTCTTCTCCCTTGCAGTAATTTCTTAGTTTTTAGATGTTACACTGTCTTCAACATACGCCTTATTCTAAACCAGGAATGTCAAAGATAAGGCCCACAGACCATATCCACCAGGCAGAGCTGTGTTACCTGGCCTGTAGGGCTCCTGAAGGGGTGGGATGAACCCACAGGAACTTGGGGGTGGGATGAGCAGGGATAGGGTGGGTCCTGATCCAGCCCACAAGGAGGTAGGCCTGTATGTGATAAGTCACAGAAGTTGAATGATAAAACCAAGCCATGCCTCCCTTTTCATTCCACTAAAAAACAACTACTTACCCACAGACATACAAATCTAATGCAGACACATGTAGTTTCTCCCTTTCGGTCAACAACTGTGATTTTGAAAGAGCCATCATCTTCTTTACTGCACTGTCCAGCTCTTTGTCTAACCGCACTGAACTCCCAGTGCCAACCAAAGCCAAGCCATTAGCAATCACATGTCCCATTGCTGAAGAAAGCAACAGATACAAACTTCAGATATGCAGAATTGCAGATAGTTTAGCAGGTACAATAAATGTGGGCCAAACTACTGACGTCATACCAGCAAACAGTAGTGCCAAAACTGGTTACAGTCTAATAGAAAGCCCAAATCACACACTGAGTTACTAGCAGGAACCTGAAATTTTCCTCATCTGAAAACTGGTTATTTTCAAATTCTCCTTAAACATTTCTACAACCCTCCTCTGTCCCCAAATACCAACTTTAGTATTAGTAACGGTACTAGGTGCCAATGCTTTTTTAGGTCTACTGTAGAACAGAACTTTTGTAGAACAGTTTCCCTCTGCTTCATAATAGCCCATGCACAAAAATGACAATGAAATGCAGATCACAGTGACTACAGAGGCACTGTGCTCAGGGGCAGCAACAGCTAAGAAGTTAGAGAGGACTTAATACCAGGTTATCAGTACAGGGACTGAGAACATGCAAGGATAAAGATGGGGATGGATTGAGAACATGTAAGACACTAAGAGTCACAATGGGATGTAACCTCACTGGCAGTGAGAGAGAGAAAGCATGAGAGCAATGTATTTAGAATAACATAACAGGCACACAGAGGATCAGGACTCATGGGCTGTTCATTTTATTGGCTGTGATACATATCACAGAAGAGCAACACGTTCCTCTCAGACTGCCTCTACTCCGTGCTTGCTGTCTGCAGTGTAAGGTTCCTTTCCAACGGGAAATTTTCCTCCCGTAGGGTTTTCTGGGGATAGACATATTAAATTTGGCAGAGTTAAACAGCTGCAGCATGATAGTTACTATTTCATAACAGACAAATAGTTAGCAAGGCTCCCTCTTCCCAGTTGTTTAACTCTTGTTTTTGTTCCCTTGTTATTTACAAGATACTCAGATACTGCTCTTCTGATGCTGGTCATCACAAAACTTGATCTTGTCCACCTTGCAGTGCCTTGCTCCATCTGCAAGATGACTCTGCCAACCAGAGCGGCATTCTGCACTCCTTTCCCAATCATCCACAGAGATTTCAAATTGTGCTAAGATATCTTTGCAAGCATCCTGAAATCTGCACAGCAGATTCTTTCCTCTTTTTTCCCAGGGCAGGAAAGACTCTGCTGTTCAGATTCAGAGCACTGTGGTGCATGGATGCATCCTACCTGTACACAGGACTGTCATTTGCCCATTGGACTCAGGAGCCAAAGTAATCATCGGCGCATACACCATGCTCTGTAAAGAGCGATGGTGCTAACTGAGATACTGTTCCATGCAGCAAGGTCAGACGAGCCAGTATAAAATGTTTGGCATTCTACTCTGCAGCTCTAGTCTCTGCTATGGATAAAACTATCCTCAAAACGCAAGCTAATTCAAGAATGGAATGGATACTAAAGACTTTTTAATACCTTTGTCCTGTCTATCTACAGAACTGCCTCAAAAATTGTAAAGAAGTTATCTTTCATAGTTTCATAAAGCACTGGAGTCAAACGACCCCAGCAAGGTGTTCATCTAACCTCCTCTTAAAAACCCCCAGGGTAGGAGTCTGCACCACCTCTCTTGGAAGTTGGTTCCAGACCCAAGCCGCCCTGACCGTGAAATAGCGCCTCCTGATGTCTAACCTAAACCTACCCTCTGCCAGCTTGTGACAGTTATTCCTGGTCACTCCTGGCGGTGCTCGGGGGAACAGTGA